CTATGTACTGTGGGGTCCAAAGGGATGTTCCGCTGGGGGGGATTTAGTTCCTTGGGCAAGGGCGGTGGAGCCCTTCCCCTGACCTGGGGCCAGGCTCCCCAGGAGAGCTCCTTCTCCACCCTCATTCTGCGAGAAGTAGCAGCAGGTCACTTAGGATGTGGATTCTCTCCACCTCTCAAAGGTTCTTTCATATAAATATGTTCATACATTCTCCTGCTGCTCTTTTTCCTGAAAGAGTGAAGTTCGAGGCTTCAGTTGCTAAATTTAGCTCTTGCTGACGCACTGGCTGTCTTCTAGCAGTCTCCTCATGTCAGTAGTGTTGCTCTTACCCTCACTCTTGGGCTGGTAGACGAACACCGTCACATCCCACATACTACTTAGCTCTGAGGCGTTTCCAGATGGGAAATGCATTTCTGTATTTTCATAGCTGTGTTCTCTGCGTGAATGGACTGTCGTGAAGCCAGGGGCTGGCAGCCAGCCCGTGCGAGACAAAGATCCCCAGGCTGGTGACGGGGAAACCAATGCAGTTGTTGCTATAGGTTTGCTTGCGGTCAGGAAGAGAGAGAGGAGGCTCTTGGAGGAGATCTGGGGGTGCTATTTGACTGGGATGTGAATGGAGAATTTTCACGAAGGGGAAGCCTTCTCCCTTGAAGCAAGCCTTAGTATATTGTTGAAGAAAATTATTCTGACACTCGTTACAATAAGGCAGATTTTATTCAGGGCTCTCACAAAAAGGGTATTGCAGGAGGAAAGAGAGCTGGGGCTCAGCTCTGAATACAACAAGGACAAGTGGGGATTGCTCGCCAAAGAACAGAATGAGAGGCTCAGTGGATGCAGAATGGCTAAAAGGAGATCTCAAGGGTAGGGAGGACTTAACACATCGAAGTAGGGGATCCTCTCTAAACCAGTGGAGCAGATTCTGGCCAAGACTGGGCTGTGCAGGCCCGGAGGGATGAGGGGCAAGTCGAGGCCTGGTGGCGAAGAGGGGTCAGAGAAGCCTGACTCAAGTTTGATCAAGAAGAGATTTTGGTCTGTCCCTCCTGTGTTCAAGGACAGAAAGAGACCCCATTCTTTCCTTAGAATGATCTAAGTTCATTTCTTGTTCCATTGCCTTTTGTTCATTGAGTATCAGCAGAGCCATATGTTGGGCCTTGTGATAGAGGACATTTGCTGGATGGTGCAAACTGTTGAACAGAGGGGGACTCGGGGTCTGCAGTGGCAAGGAGTCCTTTGAAGTTTTTATCAGGTCGTCCAGCTTCAGCCTGCCGGGCTTCTTTAGATCTTGGCAGGGAGGGTGGGCTACGACCCCCCTGGAGTTCCATGAGGAAGTCAGTAGTCAGGTTGTAGTTCTCAGCGAAGCCAGGTCAGGAGAATGGGAGAAAAATGGGAAACAACAATTGAGAACTTGCTGAGGAGTGAGAAAATGTGCAAGATGGCAGGATGTAGTCCAGTTGACAGGTAGGTAACAAAATAAAAAGTCATTTTACTAAGAGGTGATAAATAGCTCAAGGACAGTGAACCAGACCAGAATTTGATACCCACAGGACTGTGCCGTAGTTTCCTATTGAAAGGTAAAATTTCTACAGTGTCTAGCACTGGTCCCTGAGTGGGTATGTTGAAGCGTCAGCATGGAAGGTAGCCTGGTGTCAGGTAGGCCTGGGTTCAAATCCCTGCCCCAGCTGTGAGATGTTGAGCACATTGGTTTAATAAATCCTGTAATTTGTCCACGGGTGATACTGACATGCAACGAGAGATGAGAGCTCATGTACTTAAATGGGTTTGGCACTTAGTCGGTGCTGGTGGACCGTGTGCACTGTGCTCTCTTGGCGGGGCAGGGCTCTCCTGTGAGGCAGAGAGGGAGCCTCTGATCCAGACCTCAGTGGCCACTAGGCAGGACCCAGCTGGGAGAAGTGCGAGGCTTCCTGTGGCCAATAGAGACTTGGTCCCGAGATGCTTCTCTCTCTCTCTCTTTTTTTTAATAAAGGTTTTTATTTATTTATTTTGACACAGAGAGGGAGAGAGCACAAGTAGGCAGAGCGGCAGGCAGAGCGGCAGGCAGAGGGAGGGAGCCCGATGTGGGGCTCGATCCCAGGACCCTGGGATCACGACCTGAGCTGGAGGGAGATGCTTAACCGACTGAGCCACCCAGGCGCCCCCCCCCCCCCCCCCCCCGAGATACTTCTCACTGGCTGTGCAGTGTTTGCTGTGCACCTGATGGGTGTTTTGGTCACACTTCCCATCTCAGGTAGGTATCCTTCACCCTACTGTGCAGATGGAATTGAAGCTTTGAGAAGGTAACTACCTGCTCTAACACACAGGAAGTGTCAAGGCAGGGATTTGAGCCCAGGCCAGTCTGGCCCAGAGCCCAGGCCCTCTGCCCTGTCGGGCACTGTTGGTGACCAGGGAGGCAGAGCCACAGTAGGGGAGAATGTTTTGGGCAGTGCTGAGGCACAGGGATATAGTGGGTAATGGCATGGCCTTTGGAATCAGACAGACTGGGGTTCAAATCCTGACAATGATAGTACTTAGCTGTCTGAGCATGGGAAGTGACTTAACCTCTGTGATCTTTGGTTCTTCCTCTGTAAAATGAGGGAGGTGTAACTATTCCAAGGGAGCGTGTAAGGATGTCATGAGAGAAGGTCTGCAGAACCTTGGCACAGGCCCTGGGGGCGATGAGCATTCAGTCAGTGGTGGCAGCTGTCGTTTATATGGGGTTTTGCTGGGCCCTTTCTCATTCACTTGATCTCCTTGTTGGTCCTTGGGAAGGGCAGACTCTAGAGGGCAAGTCAGTCAGACATAGGAGTGACCTTTGGTGTTGCTTGTTAGTCCTGGCATGTGTTGCTGGGAGCTGTTTATCAGAAACGTAACCACTGAAGATTGGCAGGACAAGGAGAAGTCTGGCTGGGTACGGCGTTCCCAGAGTGGTTCCAATTCCACTCTTCCTAGTGATGGGCCAAAAGGAGAGACCAGAATAGGGGCTCATTTGGGCCTAGTGGGACCTCCTGAGGGAACCCAGCCTGGCAGACGTGGGCAGGGTCCAGAGTTCCTGCTGGAGCAGGAGGGACTCTCAATGTCCCGACCTTCTATCTGTGGCTCATTAATAATTTGTTGATTCTGGCACCGTTTTAGGTTCAGAGGTTACAGTGACACACAAACAAACTCACAGGGGTCATATTCTAGTGGGGAGGACAGACAGGAAACATGTAAGCACATAGATTTGAATGCAGTCTTGGGGAATGAAGAACAATAAAGCAGTGGAAGGGGATAGAGGAGTGTTTTGGGGTGACCAGGAAGGGGACACGTAAGCAGAGACCCTGGTGAAGTAAGGGTGCCAATCATGAGAATGTTGTAGGGGGCATTCCAGGCAGAGCCCCCCCCCCGGGGGGGGTGGAACTGACCCGGGTACAGCAAGAAGGCCCACGGGAGTGGGGGGAGGCAGAGGTGGGAAATGAGGTCAGGCTGGAAGCTACCAGATGCCACTGGCCTTCTCACCATTTGCGGCAATCACTATTTCCAGATCTCAGGGAGGAGTTAGCTGCTCCTTTCCCCGTCTGCACCACGGGTGCCCAAGGCTCTTGTGGCAGTCCGCACACAGGGTAGGACTGTTGGTCTGTTGTATCCCCAGACCGGGAGCTCCTCAGGCCAGGGACCGTGTCTGTCGTGCTTATACCCAACACCTCGCGTGGAACGCGGGCTTCGCACGTTGAACAATGAATTCGGGCGATGACGGTGCTGTCGGCCGGGGTTTCTCTGTGCCCGTCGCTGCGGTGAGCACTTGATGCTTCGTCCCCCCGTTCGGTCAGTAGCCCCCTCCCCAGGTATTGTCCCGGTTCATCCCCAGAGGATCCACGCCGAGCACCTCCTGCGCTGGGACAGAAGTCCGGGGTGGAGGTGCGGTGCGTTCAACCACGAGGACGCCTGAGCGGGGCTGCGGGCGGGGGGCCGAGGTGAGGGGGCGCCTGCGAGCGCGCCGCCGGGGGACGTGGTGCGCGTGCGTGGCGCCGGGGCCTGGCGGCGCTCGGTCTTCTCGGTCGCCGAGGGGACACGCTGACCCCTGCCTGCTTGGAGCCTCCCAAGGGGCCTGCGGGGTGGCCCTCAGACCTCCTCTCGGCTTCCTAATCCACGAACGGCAAAGTGGCGCTTAAAAGGAATTTATTCAGGTGGGCACTGTGTAAGACAGGGAAGTAAGGCTTTTGAGCTGCTGCACATAAACTGGAGTGTAAATGAAAAGCTTTTTATTTGGTTTCGGAGCCAGACTTCGGGAAGCCAGTGGGCCGTGTGGTCTGGAAGCGCACGTTGCGGGCAGCGGGCCGGAACAGGGGCCACCTGGAAGGGCGCGGAGGGGGAATCGCTCTTGCGCTGGGACGGCCACGCGGCCAGGACGGCAACCCGCACCGTCGGGGCCCAGAAGGTCTTTTCCGAAAGGGTGGAAAGGGGGGAGAGGGAGAAAGGCAGTGCCTCCCGCCCGGCGTATTTGAGAAGGAAAACGCTTGCCGTAGCCCCTGTTGGCAGCTTTTATAGCTTCCTCCCCGCAGTGCGCCGGGCAGACCCTGAACAGGCCGGTGTTCTGTTTTCCCGTCACGAAGCCGAGTGGACCAGGGGCAGCTCCCCAGCAGTGGCTCGCCCGGGGCTCCGCCGGTGGGCGAGGCCGGGGTGCTGGGTGCAGCTCTGCGACCTCCTGCCTGCCGGCTGAGCCCCCGCGCAGGCGGGGGCTGGATTCGCGGCCTCCTCTGGACGCTCGAGTTCGCCTGGTCGCCATCCTTCAGCGGCAGGCCCTCCATGGCCGCTGCGGAAGAAGGAGGCGGCAGGCGGGCTGGGAAGGCAGCCACTCGGGGGAAGAAGGCGCGGATCTACACTGTCAAGGGTTGCTGCTTGGGGACTGCAGGGGGACCATAGCACAGGGCGCCCACAGAACGCTCTTTGGGCCTTGGGTTGCCGCTTGCCAGGGCCCTTTCCATGACGAGCTTTAACCTGCATTTATCATCTCTTCTCTTCGGTAGTAAGTCCGTATGTGTGCGTGTGAGATAAATTGGGACATTGGATTCCCTGCGTGGTGAAAAATCCGTATCTGTGGCATTGGCGACCTGCACCGGCATGTGTTTTGAGAGCCACGGACAAGGGGAGACGCCCGCCCAGCTAGCTGCTCTGACCTACTAGGAAGCTCGGGAACCGTCTCTGAGGTGAGGGTACGATCTGCTGTTTGATGTTCTTGTTACAGACGCCGTCTCCCTGTTTTCTTTCAGGTGATTGATTATATGGAAACCAGATAGGTATCTTAAAAAAAATTTTTTTTGAAATTTTATTATGTTATGTTAGTCACCATACAGTACATCATTAGTTTTTGATGTAGTGTTCCATGATTCATTGTTTGCGTATGACACCCAGGGCTCCAGGCAGTACATGCCCTCTTTAATACCCATCACCAGGCTAACCCATCCCCCACCCCCCTCCCCTCTAGAACCCTCATATCTTAAAAAAAATTTTTTTTTAAAGATTTTATTTATTTATTTGAGACAGAGAGAATGAGAGAGAGAGAGAGAGCACATGAGAGGGGGGAGGGTCAGAGGGAGAAGCAAGCTCCTTGCTGAGCAGGGAGCCCGATGCGGGACTCGATCCAGGGACTCCAGGATCATGACCTGAGCTGAAGGCAGTCGCTTAACCAACTGAGCCACCCAGGCGCCCTAAAGATCTTTTATCCTAAGAATTTCAGGTTTGTTCTTTAACCTGTATTAATTATGGAAAAATTAGAACATAGCAAAAATAAGGAGACCCAAGTCCTTTGCATTCCTGGCATGCGGGGTAGTTGCTGCTGCTTATTGGTGTTTATGTTCTTCAAGACTCTTTCCTGATGAGCATATCTTAATATAAAATAAAATCTAATAAGTGATGATGGCTTACATTTGAACGTTACTATTTGCCAGCACTTTACATGTATAGACTAATTTAATCCTCAAGAATCCATTTGGTTTTTATTACTGAACCCGTTGTATGGATGAGAAAGCCGAGGCCCAGAATGATTAGGTACCTTAAGATCCCACGGGTAAGTAGCCAAGCTGGGATCTGAACCCCGGCAATGTGGTTCCATAGCGTGTGCTCTTAGGTACACACTATACTGATTTGCAAAAGAAAAGGATGGGGGTGCCTGGCTGGCTTTGTCAGTACAGCATGTGACTCTTGATCCTGGGGTTGTAAGTTCAAGCCCCACACTGGGTGTAGAGATTACTTAAAAATAAAATCTTAAAAAAAAAAAAAAAGAATAGGATAAAACTATTCATAACAAATTTTAACTTGCTTTTTTACACTTAATATGTTATGAATCCCTTTTGATGTCAATAGCTATATTCAGAGCACCTTTCAAAATGGGCAAGCTGTGGCGCAAGCAGTGCAAAAATGGAATGCTATTTTCTTATGTGGCCATTCTAGGTAATAATAATTATTGTATTTAAACATAGCAGACATCAGGGGCGCCTGCGTGGCTCAGTCAGTTAAGCGTCTAACTCTTGATTTTGGCTCTGGTCATGATCTCAGGGTTGTGAGATCGAGTCCTGGCTCTGTGCAGGGCATGGAGCTTGCTTCAGATTGTGTATCTCTCCCTTTCTCTTTGCCCCTCCCCTCTGCTCGGGCACGTGCGCTCTCTCTCTTTCTCCCTCTCTAAAATAAATAAATCTGTAAAATAAATAAATAAGCTGACGTCAAGGCTCTGTGCCTCATGCTGTGCTAAGAGCTGTGTGTGTATTATCTATTTTTAGCCTCATATAACTAGGGCTTCTTGCGGGGGAATAAGTTAGGATCAGGTGTAGATTTTCCAGGTTGTATCTCATTTCCATTAAGCTTCAAATTAGGTTTTTGTTTTTGTTTTTAACTAGCCTCCATGCCCCAAATGGGGCTTGAACTCAAGACCCTGAGATCAAGAGTCACATACTCTACTGACTGAGTCAGCCAGGTACCCCTCAAATTTAGATTTTTGACTTTATCCTCAAATAAGGTTATATATACAGTAATATTATTTTTGTGTGTTAATTTTAAAAACAACTTGTTATTTTGAAATAGTTTGACTCAGAGGAAGTTGCAAAAATAGTACAGAAAATTTCTGTGTATTCTTCACCCTGCTTCCCCCAATGATAATATCTTCCATAACTGTAGTACACTGTTAGAACCAGGAAACTGCTGTTAGCATTTCGTATTAACTCAGGTTCTCCGTTTGTTATTAAAGTTAAATTGTTTTATAAAAAAGAAACACAAAATACACGACAATTGATAATCTAGTTTGGTAGTTCTTTGTTGTTAAATATATAGGAGTCTCTAAGTGGTAGAGTCTGGGGCCTCTCTCCTGCCTCACAGAGGTGAATAGTGTTATTAGCTCCATTCAACAGGTAAGGGATGGGGGTCAGAGAGGGTAAGTCACTTGCATGAAGTCACACAGCTATAGTGAGCTTCAGAGCTGGGACTTAACCCCTCTGATTCTAAGATCCACTCTTGAGCCCCCACACTTCCCAGCCTCTCTTCTGATTTGCTGGCTTTTTGGGGCAAGGCTCTGAATATAAGTAGGTGTATTTACGTGAATCCATGCACGTGTAGATTTTTCCCCACTCTCCAGAGCTCCTTCTCCGAGACTAGAGAATGCCAGAGCTGAAGAGGACCTTGAGTGGGGCATTAGCCCAACGCCTCATTTAATAGAGAGCAGTTGCACCAGCGCAGGGGCCCATGTGCTGTGTCTCGAGTTGGCCCAGACCCCGGGACTACAGGCCACCTTCTTCCATAAACCCAGTCATTTTGTTGGTCTCCTTTGAGACTCTCCTCCAGTTGCTCATTTCCACATTTGCTGACTTACAGCCTCCTGGCTGTCAGCTTGCTCTGTTCCTTCCTGGAGGTGCTTGGGGAGCCTGAGCAGTGGTGGGCTGTGTTTCGCTTCCTGAACTTGTCCACCCTGCCCCTCTTTTCCCACCTGCCTGCCCAGTGTCTCTCACCCCGTGCCTGGGACTCCAATGAAGAGCAAAAGCCATTTGTGTAGGAAAGATGCAGGAAATAAGATTTCTGTGAAGTCCTGTCCATGGGAAAAGATTTTTACCCCCATCCCAGTCAGTCCCCCTCTTACTTTACTGCCTTCTTTCCTACCTTCGCTCAGAACTTGAGCTGCCAGTGCAATCCACTTCTGTAACCCAGAAAGCAGACAAAGCCCACCCCCTTGCCTTCCCAGCCACAGCCGTGGCCTGTCACTCAAGCGAAGACTATGTGTGAACTTTATCATTCCTGTTAAAGAAATCAAGGACTTGTCTAGTTGACCCCTGCAGTAACTCTGCCCAAACTTTTATTGAATTTTATGGATAGAACCATGGGAATACAGATAGGATTATTCCAGACTTTCCACCCACCCCACTTCAGAAGTCCCTGGTGTGCCTTCCATTCTCGTTGACTTGATGTGTGTGTGTGTGTGTGTGTGTGCATGTGCATGTGAGCACGCGTGACATGAACCTGTGTAGGCGTGAGAGAGCATCTGGTGGCCCGCATGGATCTCCCGAGCAGTTGGGACCAAGCCCTCATTGCTGAAGCTTTTAGCCACTTCCGGTGGAGAAATGCTCCTGGGCCCTGGGCTGTACCTGGGAGGGGCCAGGATGGAAGGTGATGCACTCAGTGGAGTGCTGCCTGAAACTGCTGCAAGAGCTGGTCTTCAAGTGAAGCGGGGCTTGCTGAGTGGCATCACCCTCCTCACATCATTACATGCTGGGGCCTGCCGGATGCTATCCTCACAGCCACACAGAGAGACCGTATTTCCTCACTGGAAGCCCCTCCAGCCTGAGAGGAGGGAAGGAAGAGGAGATTACCTTGCCTCACCCTTGGACCTGCCCAAAGCTCAGTATGCGGTTGAGACCTCGGGTATTCAGGGGTGGGTTACTGAGAGAACATTCCTGGCCAACAGGTGCCTGCCAGGGAAGGTCTTTGTGAAGGGTAACTAAGTGATAGAAAACAATGTTATTTCACTTGGCCTGGTTTTAGAAGTAGATTCCAGCATTTTTTTTTTTTTTTTTTTTTTTGAGATTTTATTTATTTGACAAAGAGAGAGCAGGAGAGCACAGGCAGGGTGAGTGGCAGAGGGAGGGGGAGTGGGAGAGGGAGAAGCAGGCTTCCTACTGAGCAGGGAGCCCGACTCGGGGCTCGATCCCAGGACCCTGGGATCCTGACCTGAGCCAAAGGCAGACGCTTAACCAACTGAGCCACCCAGGCACCCCAGATTCCAGCATTTTAATATTCATTCATTCTTCCCACTTTGTAGCATGCAAAGTGTAATACAAATGTGAATAAGACAGTCTCTGTCTTAAGGGAACCTGTTAGAAAGGCAGAATCCCAGGGCTCATCCCAGCTTACTGAAGCAGAGTCGGCATTGTCACAGTCTATATTGTCTCCAGGTCCCCTGGTGTTTCGCATGCCCGTTCGAGTCCGCATGTTCTGCCCCTCCTGATTACTCCACCTGTAACATACATCACTCGTTGACCAAATAATTGTTCCACTAACTACATATTTGAGTTGGCACCTGTGATGAAATCTCTTTGTCATCCCTGTTAGAGTAGGAGAGAATTCAATAAGAAATAATTTCAGTACAGTGTGATAAGTCTGCTAAGTGAGGTATAGGCTATGGGCTACAGAACTTTTTCATTCTCTTGATAAATTTTTGCTGTATACCGTGTACCTGGGGCTCTGCTAGCAGAGGGGTGTAGTGTAAGGTCAGACAAGCTTCTGCCCTAAGGGGAGGGTGGATGATAAGCAGTAAAGAAACATACAAACAAGGTAACTACCCATGGTGATAAAATGCTTTGCAGGGAATAAATGGGGTGATAGGAGAGAGTGACGGTACATAGGGCAGTCAGGGAGTTGAGGATCACGGGAGATAACTCTTGGACAGCACATGAAAGGCACTTGATAAGGTTATTATTCTTTCTACAACAGTAAACATTTTATCTGCTCCCTCCCGGTTTTTAATTTGCAGCAGTACATGATGGATTTCTGTCCCCAAACAAATGTTTCTTTCCTTGGTGTGTGTGCGGCAGCCTAACATATGTCTTACCACAGTGATGGTCCATGGGCTTCCCAACCTCTCATCACAGAGTCCACCTATGCTGTCTTCTCTGCCCAAAACAAGGTTCTGAACTGAGCAGATAGGATTTCAGAGCCCTCCAGTACTCCT